AAAGGCATAGCAAATAGGACCCAGGAAATATTTCTGGAGTATTTTGATATATTTTAGCTCTAAGTCGGTTGAAATATGTGCCAAGTAAAAGTTAAGAATATTCATTTGAATTTGGCTTGCCTGTTTTTATTTCATATCAGGGCCATTGATCTTGGTTTTTAAAGTCTCATATTTTTCACATATAAAGAAGGATATAATTTAAAAGCATTCAATAGAGGCGAAGGGTTCATATGAGCTTTAGTGCATCAAATGTTTATATATGAAAGGACTAAATACATAGAAAAGTTCCTCAATTTCGATTGAGTAAACGTTCTTTGGCAGGTGAGATAAGGGACGCCCCTGTGTCTGTGAATTCGGAAATACGGATGGAGAGTAGGGAGCTGCGAAGGCGGTCCTGGTAGAAGTGTGTATAGCCTATGACCGGGAAGGCAAAATAGGGTGAGGAAGTAGCGGAGGCTGCTGGTATATGCTCTAGGCTCTAGTTGCTCGGTTATGATGATTATGCGCTCTGGAGCAGTAACGATTGATAATCCATGTCTACAAATCCATCCATCCATGTGTATATGTATATATATGCGTTTGTGTGTAAATATTATTCTGTACATGATGAAGGCAAAATGCATTCTGCCTAAACCATTTCGGCACAAAGAAAAGGACTTAGGCGTACACATGATCGTCATTAGGGAATGCACAAATAACATTATCAATAAGAGATCACTATTCTGTACAATTAGTTAAAAGCCTGGAATGCTCAAATATCTGTAAAGGCGAAGCCAGGCAAGCATGCGCACACACTCACATTCACACTACAGAATATTGGCAAAATAATGGATTGATCACATAGTGAAGAAAATGACAGCCAAGAAGGAATGGCTGTGCGAACAAAATGGCCGCAAAACCAAAGTATAGGCCTGAGAATTTGGCAATTCGGTTAGAAAGATGCAGTAAAAGAGGCTAAAAGGGCAGTGATCGCTGGGTGAAGATGGGGTGGTATAATAAGTAAGGTAAAGGTGCATACAAAGAGAGGGAAGCTGTACATAATTACCTTTAAAATACCACTCCAGAGGATAAAAAGCCAAAGAAATAAACTAGGAGACCTAGCGCAAAGGCTAGCAAAAAGACAGAAAAGCTCTCCTTTGAGGAACCTGGGAAGACGGGAGCGGAGAAGAAAGTTGTGCCACACCGGTATTCGACTCACATACTCGGGAATCAGCAGGGTTGGCTGAGAGGTTCGTCGATTCGCCATTACAGACTGAATTCATGATTGACGGTGGAGTGCGAAAATCAGTAAGGAAACTCAGGCATTGCGCAATCGTTGGAGATGACTCCATGCTGCCGAGAGCCAACTCGCAAAGCTGAGATTCACGGGCAACAAGAAACCTATGGGGGAATAATGGTACGTAAGCACATATTAATGATAAATATCACACATAAAAATACCTGAAGCAGATACCAGCAAAACAAATTTGCAGCCACTACAGTAGTGGATAAAAAGAGAAACATTCAAATATTGACAAGTAACAAAGCAAACGGGATATTATCTATAAGTTATGGACCGGTGATCCCTACTATCATCTTCAAACAATTGCATGGTAGATTGAGTGAACCTTCTCAAAGAAGATACGAAGATAAGAGACTCTTAAGTAATGAATCCTGAAGAAAGTAACAAGTTATAAAGAAATTTGAAAGGGTTTACGGAATTTAAATTACCACAAGACACTCACTAAATATTCATGTAAATGATAGATATGACTGGGGTTTCTCTAACATGTGCCAGTAATGAATATATAAGACCTGCCTATAGAGCCACAAAGACTTACATTAACAATTTAGTTTTCTTCAAATTCTATAAAGAAAAACACAAGGCTACGCCCGTTTTAAAATCATTAGTGTAAAGTTTGGCTAAATAAATGCCTAATTTATTGGCATAATTTGGAGCTGACGAATCAAGTATTTTTTAAAATCATTCATTAGGGATTCATTCCCTTACAGTGAATTGCGCCGTTGCAACGCCAACGGGCACTATTCAGTTTTGCTTGTGTAGCTATAAACTATGCTAGTAAATTGCAAGAACGATGGGAATACACTGAGTGGTTAATATGCCCAAGACTAATTGAGAGTTCAAGGAGCAGCCAAAATGATGTTTTAGGAGAATTGCGGTGGAAAAATCGTAGACGACCTCAATAGTACTCCATCTAAAAACCTATGAGAGTCAAGGCAAATAGCTTGAGAATAGCCATAAATACCAACAGGAATTGAATAAATTTTGTTTAAGTTAGACTATGAAAACCTTTTGCCTCTAATTTAAACAAGGTACAATTGCGTAAAAATATCAGTAACCTACGCAAATAAACTCAAAACTTAATCTCGAATGTCTTTGCTCAAATGAATTAAGACCAAAGTAATGTTGATCGCTGGGTTAAATGGGTAATGCGAGCTCTTCCTAAACCAAGAACGAAGGTGGATTAAAGCATCAAATCAAACTTAAGTTAGATATATAATTATACAAACCAAGGAACATCAAAAACTCTGCAGGAAAATGGATACCGAAAGATCAGAATTAGCAGAAAACATCGTACAGACTGGACACGAGATCAATTGAGGGGCAAAAGAAGGAATGGCCTCATACGGTAAAAACACAAAGAAGCAGAAGATTACGGAGGCCGTTTATATCCTTTTGAGAGAAAAATTTAATGAACAGGAGATTGGAGGAAAATAAAATTAGCGATAACTTTGCCTAGTATTTAAGCAAACTCAGGGAAAATATTAGTACAGCAAGATCAGCAAAAAGGGGACGCCTGGCTCAAGTCTATTCGAATAAACAAGTACAACTTCGGGGGAGCTAGGCAGACGTATAAGCAAACCGTCACATGAATTCGGAGTTATGGCTCAAATGTACTAGAAGTCCACTTGAGAACCAGCATGCAACCAGAGATTGGCGTCTACAGTTTGCTCAGTTAACATGGGTTTAATCAAGGAGACGACCGGTGAGGGCAATGCCTGATATCTGCAAGCGTGGGAATCAGAGCCTAGGCGCTCTGCTTGGTGAGGCGACAATGTATGTACTTCTAGGGACTTGAGAAAGAGCCTGAAGTAAAACACGCACTGGGACTGGAACCGAGTGAGATCGGTCAACTAGAAGGATAAGGAACGAATCTACGGTACAATGAAGGAGATCCGAATAGGAGGCCCGAGTCGGATTAGCTGATCGAAAGGATCAGGTTGAATAGCAGGGCCAAAAAAGGCCTTCATTTTGATGAGTGAAATGTAAACAAATTAGAAGTTGTAGATACGAAGAGAAACTTGGTTTCGAAACGATGGAGAAGTCCCGCGGACTGAGTCAACATGAATATCGTATAAAATCCAAACGGCTGTAGTACGAGATTCATCCGTCCTCATCTAGTGAGATGATGAATCCATTCTCCATGCACTTTCATACGAAATGAAGGTCCCCCTAACAAGTTAGAAGTTCTTGGATGAGAGGGTAAAGAGTTGATAGATGGGTCAGAGCAGGAGTTATAGTGTAACCGTTTTCGGCAAAACGTTGGTTGAGGGAATGACTCCCCTTGTTTCATTGATG